ATTGAGACTCCTAGGGGAGTTACACTTCCTCCAAAATCTCATTATGTAGTCATGTGAAGAAACCAATGCCAGAGTGACAGAAAAGTTTCCCTAAACTGAATGGTGTATGTTGGTGTGCATCTAATGCTTCCAGAATGGTGAGAACTCAATTCCCTCAGCCAGTACAGCAGCATGGTGGAAACTGAGGGTTCAATTTCCTGTAGTTAGGAAGACCTGCAACTGACTTTATTTACTATACAAATAATGCATCTGATAGATCAAAGGAATCTGGATGAATACAAATGAAGGCAGACTATATCAATACATGCAGGTGTTGCTACCATGGAACACAGAGGAACTTTATAGCTGTAACTGAATTTATTAAGAAAGAAGAAAGAATGTAATTCAAAAATCAAAGCAAATGTCCCCTGAAGATACTGTAAAATACAAATATATGTACATATACACCAATATATACAGGAAGTAAATAATGTAAGTGAAAATTAATAAGAGAATAGAAAAGCAAATGCAATGAAACCAATATGAAATTCAGTCCAAGTGAATAAATTTAGCGAGGTAAAGAAATTAAAGAGAGAAAATATTAAAACTAGATTTAAGTGAGAAGATATTACTTTCAATTGTATAGAAAGTATTATAAATACTATGAACAATTGTATGATAATAAATGAGAAAAGTCAGGTAAATTGATGTCGGGAAAGACACAAAATTCTGAAATTGACTCAAACATAAAGACAAAGAACAATATGTTAAAAGAGATCAAACAAATGATCTGAGCAGAAAGAGAAACTCAAGTCCAGACAGATTTACTAATGAAGTTCTCCAAAATGTTTAAAGATTAATATCAATTCTTCATACTCTTCCAAAAAAATAGAAAAGATGGAACATGCCCAAGCTCATTTTATAGTAACAATACTATTCTGATATTGAAAATCAGACAGAGGCATCACAATAACACTACAGAACAAAATATCTTGAGAATATAGAAGTAAAATCCTTAACAAAGTTTTAGGAAAAAAAAGTAAGAAATCAAAATAATTAACTAATTATGATGAAGTAAGAATAATGTTCATGGGATAAAATTAGTTAACATGCAAAAATAATATAAAATAGGATCTCATGTTGAAAGAATAAAACCTCCAAACTATATAATCATCCCAGCAGATTCAAGAAAAGTATTTCACAAAAGCCACCATATTTTCATGATTGAAGCACACAAACCTAGAATATAGAAGAATTTCCTCAAACTGATGTAGGCTTTTATGGCAAACAAAAACAACAACAAAACCTTACTGACTAGCATCATACTTCAATTTTTAAAGATGATGTGTTTTTCCCTCATGGGACCAGCAACCAAACAGGACATTTTCTTTTCTTTTTAAACCACTTCTATTTAACATTGCACAAGAGTATAAATAGTCAAGAAAATGAAATTACAATCAGATGTGAAGAAGTAAAACTATATAATCAGATAATATTCTGTTTTATTAGAAAACTCTGAGAAATCCACTAAAATTGTGAAGTAAGAAAGGAACTCAGTGAGGCTGCAGCACATAAGATCAATATACAAAATCAATTGAATTTCTACATATTTCCAGTGAGTAATTCAAAGATGATATTGAGGAACACTTTCATTTTCCATAGCATCAAAGGAATAATACTAGGAATATTTCTAACAACCAAAGTACATAATTCATACTTTTAAAACTATGCAATACTACAGAAAGCACTGAAGATCAAAACATAGGGTTAGATATCATGTTCATGGATTAAAATATTTAAGATTACAGTAGTCATCAAATTAACCTGCAGATTCAGGGTCATGTTCTCAGAATCTCAGCAGGGAAGCTTCACAGAATTTTTGCAGGAATTAATAAACTACTCCTAAAAGTCACATAGAAATGCAGAGTAGTAAAAAAAAAATCAAAAACATCTGGCAAAGAAACAAAATAAAAGGATTTGTAGTGATTTCAACACTTATGATAAAACCCCAGTAATCAATACAGTGTGGTATTAGCATGAGGATATACATATGTCAACAGAATAAAACTGAAAGTCCAGAAATAAATTCATGTATCAATGGTCAATTGATTTCATAAAGAAAGAAAAGAACTATTAGTGGGAAATGAAAATTTTGTTCAATAAATGGTCCTGGGGTAACTGGATATTCAAATGCAACAGGAGAAAGTTAGATCTGAACATAACAGCAAGTACAAAATTCAAAATAAATGGATTAATTGCCTAAATTTAACTGTTAAAATTATTTTTCATGTGAAAACATATGGATAAGTCTCTATGCTATTTATTTGCCTGGTGATTCATAGATATGATATCAAAAGCATAACCACAAAGAAAAATTTAATCGGCCATCATCAAATTTAATTGATTTAAGACATTAAGGAAGCAAAAACTCCAGAGAATAGGAGAAAACATTTGTTATAACATATATATTGAAAAAAAAGTACGTGTATATGTGTATGTGGGTGTGTGCTATGTGAACATGTGTGGTAAATCCATATGTTATTTACAATAGAGTAGATATTTTTCAGTTATGAAAACTGCATCCCAAAACCTGTTTTAAGATGTGAACATTGTAAATGAAAGAAGTCACGCACAAAAATATATACTTTATAATTGTATTTATAAGAAATATCCACAAAAAGAAAAATCAATATAGGCAGAAAGTAAAGTGTTGGTTGCTTAGAACTAAGAGACAAGAGGTAACAGATAAAGAGTATAGAGTTTCTTCTTTGAGATGATAAATATGTTCCAAACTTGATGTTGGTGATGACTGCTCAGTTTGGTGAATACACAAAGACGTTAGCCCCAAATGTTTACCATGTCTAAGCTACGAGATGATTTCAATCAACTGACTTAAAAAATTCTGATTGGGAGACTAATAAGATAGATCAAAAAAGGACAATATCTCTGCCCTATTTTTCAGGTTGGGGGCAGGTGGGGAACACAACAGAAAAGAAACAGATGGTATGTAGGTTTCAGTCCAAAAATTAAAAAGTGATGAACCAAAAAACATCAAATTCCTACCAAATTATCTCAAAGGAAGGTCTATTTTTTAGGGGTAATGTTTAAGTGGAGCTCCTCAATGCCAAGGATTCAGTTACAAAGGAGAAGAAGGAAGAAGACGGCAGGCAAAAAGAAATACAAGTGCCAGGTTCAGATATTTTTGAGTGGCTGTCTGAGGAGCAGGGTAGAGGACAGGTGCAGTGTTCAGAAATAGACAGAGGCAGTGAGGTCCCAGAGGCATTGAAAGATGGCTCAGGACAGACCTGCAGGATTTTGCAAGGGCAGATAAGTAGTTTCGATGTGTTTCTTCACTAATGCTCTGGACATCTCCCTCTTGTTAGACTTAACCTTCTCCATTCTTCTAGACTTCCTGCTCTAAAGAGATATAGGTTTCTTGCTCATTTTTTTAGATCTGGTGCTTAGTCACTTCTACCCAGGTTCTTAACTGGTTTCTGAAATGAACAAACAACGTACTGGTAAGGTAAAATTCTGTCTTAAAATGTTGAGACTTTTTGAACATAGATTGAGTATAAGAGAACAAAAATGTTCTCCAGAAGCAGTACTCAAATGAAGGACAGACAAGGTCCATCAGGCCTCTCAGACCTGACTGGCATTCTTTAAAATTATTATTATTATCTTTAAGTAGTTGCACAAGGGAGTTGTCACTTAACAAAGCTGTTTATGATCATCCCTTCTGACATTCTTGCCCATCCTACCCCTACACAAGCTTTCCTTCACTCTTCTTAATTTTGTAGGATATACAATGGATTCCTGTCTACATTTCCTTTTTATTCTCTTCTTCTCCTCTTTACCGGTCTATCCCTTTCCTCTTAGCCCCACCTTATACCCTTTGCAAGTACCTGCTTCCTGGTGGTTTTTTTGTTGTTGAACTTTGATTTTGGCATTCTAAGAAATGACACTATTTAAGGAACAGTAGCGGAAAAACAAAGGAAGGGGTAACAATGCTTGATAGGAAATGTACTCATTACCTTAGTCATGTAACTGTAACCACTGTGTTTAGCATCTTTACAATAAAAAAATTTTTAAAAATGACACTATTTGAGATCTCCCTTGAATCTACCCCATTTCAGTTATATCTGCATATCCCCAACACATTTCACTTATGAGTTTGTAAATTAAATCTAGCTTCCATATATAAGAGAAAATGATGGATCCTTTTGTCTTCTTAGCCTGACTTACTTAAATTTTTTTCCAAGTCTTATAATTTCTTTACAAATGGCATAATATCATTCTTTCTAATGAATGAGTAAACCCACAGACTTACAACCATTTAATAATTTGATAAGGGAACCCAAAACAAAGTCTGGAAGAAAAACAGCCTCTTCAACAAATGGCGCTGTCAAATCAAGATATCCACATGCAGAAAACTGAAACTACAATTTTAACTATCATCTTGTACAACCTTCAATTCAAAATGGCTTAAAGATCTCATTGGCTTTTCTATCAGACACTAAGATGTTTCCTAAGTTTAAATCCACTAACTAGAACGTCCTCTAAATTCAACTACATGTATTCCCAGAATGTGAACCATTAAACTGACAGAACAAAGAACAGGTATATCATCTCTGATGATTGCATGGTAGCCATTAACCAGTTCTCTAATTCATTCAGTTACTGAATATTGCAAATCAGAGTGCAGATATGTAGTATCTACTTTTACATGATGGCAGCACCATAACATACAAATTATAAGCTCTAGCTATAGTACAAAATATAGTGCAGACTCACACTTTCCTTATAAATGCCTACAGACATTTTGCAGCCTAATGGTTGGCTTCACATCTGCAGGTGGTACTAAACAGGGCTGCTGCCAAGATATAATTAGAATATTATTATCCAGAAAGGTACACAGTAATTCCAACACAGTGGAGACAAAGCCAACAGCAGTTTCAGCCTTCCATACCATACGATTTTAAACATAAACAAAACAACCAAAATATCCTTTGGAACCAACTTACTGTGGCCTTGAGGCTTCAGCCTGGTCTGTCTGCAGCTTCTCTCCTCCTTCCACTTCCATTGTACAGTAAACAATGCGATTAGGAGCCACTGACCTCAAACCTTGAACTTCCATTATGACAATCTGAAGATAAAAGGATTTGTAAATAATATGTCAAGTTACAATGCACAAAAAGAGCAGCATAAAGGAAATTAAGAAAGACTAAACAATACATTCATCTTGGAGCATCACTAGTATTTTCTGCCTTTGTTATCGACCTCTACTTACCCAGTATAGTAAGCAAATCTGGTTACTGAAAAGATAACTCTTGATAGATTTTAAAAAATACCTCTTGATAGTTACTAAAGTTGTAAAGTTAGAGACAGGTCCTACTGAATTAAATAAAATTTAATTTCAGAGATCTTAACAAGCCCATATGAATGAATTAAAGTAGAATCACAGATGAAAATTTGGTACAATCATAAGATAGGATTTATTATTATAGACAGTATTACTGTTATGTCAATTTATTGATACCAACACCTGATACCACATTTTCTATACTTATTTAACGTGATTGCTTGCTATTTATGAAACATTTTTCTTTTTAATCACTGTATATTTTACTATCAAAAAATAATAGCAACTATAATTTATAACTGAAAGGTTTTAATACTAATTTGATAAGGTAAAAATCAGTTACCTACCCATTAAATGCATGTACTAATTCCATTTATGACACTGGAAATACCACTGCTTTATATATTTCTACCTTCTGAGGAAAGGGAATTATGTTTCCAAGTGTGCTTTTTGTGTTTATTTAAAACTCTATCAATAAAAAAGTACTGGAACTTAATATTCTCTAGACTGTAAATATAATATAAATATTATTTTCTCCAGCTTCCTGACCAAAAATTGTATTATTCACATTCTTAAATTCTGAAGATTTACTTTACAAAATGTATTTAAGAACATTTCTAAATATGTAAAGTAATTGCTTTATTAACCTCCTGTTCTATGTGGGCAAATAATATTAACAGTGTTTATGGCACTATCTATATCATTTATTGATCATTTAATATCTTATCAGAGTCATTATAGTCTCCAGAGAATTGTGAAATGAATCTTACCTCTAAAAGTCTCAAACAAACAAAAGATATTAAAAAAAACTAATGATCTTTCAGCTCAGGTACAATGGGAAGGGTTATACTTGTAAATAAAATCATAATATTTATTTTATTTTCATGAACAGATCAAACTCAGAACATGGTATCTTCTCAACCAGAGTCTGTCATTGCCACATTGAAATGTATATTAGCATAAGAACAAGAACAAGGACTTCAATGAAAATAGACTAAGTCAACTACTGGACAATTGATAAGTTACTACCTCCCACAACTGCTCTAATATTCTAGTCATCAATTTTTAATAACTCAATTTTTTTACTAGTAACATTTAAAATAGTACTTACTTTTTATAAAAATTAAAAAATAATTTTAGTTAAAAAATGAATTTTACTTCTAGTAAAACTAACCAGAAACCATGAGAAATAAAAAGATATTTTTCATTCAATATTTCTGTTGGTACAGTAAGTAAAGGCTAAGTACTTACTATAATACTAGTGGCTTTGTCATTCAATGACCTTAACCTCCTGAGTAGGTAAGATTACAGGCATGAACCACCAGGTCCCAGTTCAATGGTAAAATTTTGAAAGGTCACTTAATATGTATAAAACAGCAGAATTATGTACAAAAAGGTAAGACTAGAAATCTAAAGTCTTGGTTCATATTTCAGATTGTTGTTATCACACTGTAATTTCTACTGCAGTATATTTAAAAGTCAGAGTGTAGAAGAGAAGAGAGAAATTGTAGGCTCACTATTACTTCTGTTGACTCTACTACAAGCTCTTGAAATGTGGGCCTACTATAGCATTCAACAAATAGCTTTTGTTCCTAAAAAACTAACTCTCATCTGTGCCAGAAAATTTTATCCTGTAGAATCATCACTTTGAAAGTATATGACTTCTGTAATGAATAAATATAACTATTCAGTTCCACAAATATGCTTTCCAAGAGGAGAAACATATAGCTAGTTCCAGTCATTGGTGATAAAGAAAGCCAAGAATTCCCCAAACCATCAGATAACATAATTTGAAGTTACTGTTTTAAGAAATTACCAGCTAAATTTGATAATGGACCCAGGGAAAAGAATACTGATCAATGCTATACCTTTCTCGTTCTCTCTGTTGCTGAAGCCCTAAGGACAAATTAGAGAAAGTTGTTCTAAAAGCAAAAACAAGGGAGGTCCCCTAGATAACATGCTTTAGAGTAATACAATGACCTGAGAGATATGGGACTCTTCAACTTGTGGGGGAAAATAAAAGGAAGCAGTAGAGTGAAATTGGGGATTATGTATGACCAGATCACAAAGAAGTCAACGAAAAGATTCAGTGTGCAAACAAACTATATTGAAATCAAAGACCCCATACCCATAGCACATCAAGTCATAATTTCAGAAACATCTGTTTTTTTCTACCTTTACTTTATTGTATGTAGTATGTCGTTATATAGCTTAGTGCTCTGTGGGTTAGTTTATGTTTTGCTTTAGTATTCTGTTGAAATGCTTCATGAATGGAGTGACTGAACTATAATCCTATATGTCTAACTGCTGCTTTTGTTGCCATAAAGTCTTAATTCAATGAATATTTACTGAGGCAATTGTGTACTAGGCACTGGTTAGATAGTATCACAATTCAGTCAACAGAAAAGAAAATAATAAGAATGTTCCTTGAAGGTTTGGAGGTGGAGGGAAAATGAAGGCAAGAATTCACTGTGTATATCACAGAATAATTTGTGCAGGGGAAGGGGAAAAACAAGTGGTTTAAATAAGGATACAGGTGGACCCATTGCAACAATGAGTAGTACAAGTTGTCATGTTGAAAACAAACTTTACAACTTTGGATGGGGGGGAGAGGATTGGGTGGGGAGGGGCGGAAGGTTAGGAAGGGATGGGAAGGGGAAACAAAGGAGGAGGCTACAATGCTTGATAAGAAATATACTCATTATCTTGCCCATCTAATTGTAACCCCTCTGTACAGTATTTTCACAATAAAAAATAAAGAAAAATTAAAAAAAAGAAATATTAGGGAAGGGATGAGTCCACAGATAAAGATACATTGTATACATAAACTACTTTGTTAAGTAGCAACAAAATTCAACGCATAATCTAAAATTAAGTAAGGGAAGGGGTGGGTTGGAGGTTGGGGGTGAGAATGTTGAAAGGGGTGACATTGATCAAGATGCACTGTGTTATCAACTGCTTAAAGATAATAAAAATATTCAAAAATGTAACTTTCCTGCAGCTTACATTCTAGTAGAGAAAATCCATGTGAAGATAGAAACAATGTTAACTAAAATATAAAACCCAAGAGCAAAGTTGAACTTGGTACAGGAATAGGTATAACGAGATAAAGAAGGGGAGGATAGACTTTGGGCATAGTTTTTCAAATCTGCAATTTACGTCTTAGACTCAGGATTCAGTACTTATGGACTGGTTCTAAGTCTAAAGAATGAAGTGTGAGCCAGGTGCTGGTGGCTCATGCCTGTAAACTTAGCTACTCAGGAGGCTGAGATCTGAAGATTGTGATTCAAAACCAGCCTGGGCAGGAAGAATCCCTGAGACTCTTATCTCCAATAAATCACCAGAAAATGGGAAGCGGTGCTATGGCTCAAGTGGTAGAGTACTCGACTTAAGCTGAAGAGCTGGGGGACAGCACCCAGGCCCAGAGTTCAAGCCCCATGACTGACCAAAGGAAAAAGAATGCTTGATAAGAAATGTACTCATTTCCTTGCCCATGTAATTGTAACCCCTCTGTCCAGTATTTTCACACTAAAAAAAAAAAAAAAAAAAAAAGACTGAAGTGTGAAAGCTTCCAACTGGATTAACTGCTAGCTTTAAGTTTTCTTAACTGAAATGTGGAGTGTCAGGAATAAGTTTTTTAGAAGGCCTAACTGATGTTACAGGCCCTCGGACTCCTCTAGAAGAGTAGTTTTCTCAGGGCTGCACAAATCCACTCTGGATTGTTATTTCTCTAACATGATTTAATTTTATTGCTGGGCACATAACTCCTCCATAAAATACTGTGAGCACTGGAGAACAGATTTGTATTTTACTATGGTGGCAAAATATCTGCCTTAGACAGAAATAGCCAAAGAGGCTGTCAAAGCAATTTCACAAACACACAAGCTTCTCAGACTACACAACAGTAAATTGTATGTTGTACTCTCTTCCTAACGCTATTATAACTGAACAGCTTGCTTTAGCATATTGGCAATAAAGTACAGAATAACAATTCCCAGTTTCAGTCATCAGTTTAATTTTTTTTTCATTAGAGGGAGCAGAACTTCTAAGATGTTAACTATATATAATTGATGAAAACTTTGAACAATAGCGGACAATGAGAAAATGTTCTGTATTTGTTCTTCAGTTCTGAATGTTTAATTATATAGTTAATGGTAGATTTATATATGATATATATTACTTGTTAGCTTAAGAACATTTGGCATATTGATTTTTTTTTGCAAAATTTAAGTGTTAAACTTGTGAAAAAATGTTATAATGTAATTAAATAAGAGCTTTCATTTGTGCAAAATCCTTTATAAAAAAGCACTGGTATCTCTTATTCAGTCAGCAAAACATTTATTTGAGCAAACAAGTAATCCACATGTGGTCATACATTAAACATCCTTATTTTATGAGGCAGCGAGGATGAGAGGGAAACCCAAAAGCAAAGCCACCTGGCAAAGCCATTAGTTTAACCCAGAGTGAAATCTTGGTTACAAAGAAAGCTACATATTTCTACTCTGACACTAAATTCAATCTATTGACCTAGAAAGAGATCATTAGCTGGAGGCTAAAGGAGTGAGAAGTAGTTGTTTTATACTCAAGCTTAACAGAAGAAAAAGTGGACTTTTCTGCCATCAACTAAGCAACTCTAACATCAGCAAGAAATACAAATCTACCTTGTCTATGCTTTTCTTTTTCAATCAGGAAACGCAGTACCAGGAACAAGCAAAGAAGACATAGCAATATAAAAGAGAAAAAAAACCACTACAAACCTCAATAAAATTTTGAGAGCTAGAATTTAAGCCAGCATTACTCACATTTGCTTATAGAATGGAATTTATTAGGACAAAAGCAGGATTTTGTTTTGTTTTGTTTTGTTTTTGGTCACGGGGCTTGAACTCTGGGCCTGGGCTCTGTTCCTCAGCTCTTCAGCTCAAGACAAACACTCTATCACTTGAGACACAGTGCCACTACTGAGTGGCTTATTGGAGATAAGAGTCTCACAGACTTTTCCTACCCAGGCTGGCTTAGAACCGAGATTCTCAGACCTCAGCCTCCTGAGTAGCTAGGATTACAGGCATGAGCCACTGGCACCCGACTAAAAGCAGGAATTTTTGCCAGCTTAAATGATGACTTGGCACTTCATTATTATAAATATAATATTTTATCTTGTTTTATTTCACATAAGTTCTCTCTCCCAGGTACATATGTGTGTGGTCTATAAACCTATAGACATATTCTTAGGTTGCATACATTTGCATAGATTAGTATGAAGAAAATAATCATGTAAGACATCAACAGATCCTGTACTAACAGTATCTGTGTCATTGGTTGTTTGATATGTGTGTGTGTGTGTGTGTGTGTGTGTATCTATAGGATGAAACTCTAGTGTTTTAGAGAACACAATTTTAAATGGATGACATTTGTTCTTGTTCCTTGTAATATTTGCTGTGTCTGTAATAAATGTGGAAGTCATACAAAAGAATTCTCTCCCTCTCATCCTCTACATTTCTCAGTATGTCCATTGCAACTGGTTCACTTGATTCTATCTTAGAAGGATTATTATTCTTAGATTATATCTTAGAAAGGGGAAGCCAAGAAGGATTCCAAATTAGAGAGAAATCAACAACCATATGTTTGAATCCTACTTTTACGCAGGTGTGTTTGCCTTAGTTTGCTAACGAATTTATACCAGTCTGATTGGCAAAAGATGTGCTTCAAAGTTTTATGATTCAATCCTAAATGTCACAGTTAAGTTTAAGGGACAGATTGCATTCATTTGTATATATAACCTATTTGTCCAAAAAACAGTCACTTAATACCTTCTAAAATTGTCATGTGGCTTTAAACTCTAAGTGTGAGCATGGAGGCCAGTAGAAATTACTGTGCAGCCTCATTTATGCTGCACAGTTATAAAAGAAGTACAAGATAAAACCACTTACCTCCAAGGTGAATGACAGGACCACATCAGACTTTGACAGTTGAATCTCATTCTCGTCCCCTAGGTCCAAAAATGCGGAATTCTGTGAACGTTTTAATTTTTGTAGCTTAAATTCTGGACCACCTTTTGAAACTGGAAGACTTTCTAAGTTGGCCATTAGCAAATTCACTGAAGATCGCAGCTCTTCTATGTACATACTCTCCATTTCTTTTGCTATAAATCTGGGGAATCTTCTTTCCTTAAAAACGAATTTTAAAATTATGTTATTTAAGTCAAATTTCAGCTTCCACTGTCTTGGAGATTATGATTCTCTTCATACAATTTGTCAGCCATGCATTTTAGTTTCTAGATTTTTAAATCTTTAGGCTCTGATAATTTTGATTATTTTAAGGATATCTGTGGTTTTAACTTTATTTTTATAGGATTTATATATGAGAAAAAGAAGCAAAAATAAAACCAGACATGTGAGAAGTTTTAGCATATGAAACGTTTTCTTTGAAATTATTGGAGTAAATAGTCTATAAGAAAATATTCAGGATCTACTGCTTTTCTAGTTAGAAAATATTTTAATAATGTCTTCTTGCACAGATAAGAAATGGGATAGTGTATTTTTATATATATAAGAATTCATATTAAAATGAATTAATTAATAACAAGGACACACTACTAGAATTAATTTCATACCACACCATGGTACCAATTTACTTTTATAAAAATTTAAGTTTAAGCCGGGCGCTGGTGGCTCACACCTGTAATCCTAGCTACTCAGGAGGCTGAGATCTGAGGATCGCAGTTCAAAGCCAGCCCGAGCAGGAAAGATCGTGAGACTCCTATCTCCAATAAACCACCAGAAAACTGGAAGTGGCGCTGTAGCTCAAGTGGTAGAGCGCTCGCCTTGAGCTGAAGAGCTGAGGGACAGCGCCCAGGCCCAGAGTTCAAGCCCCACGACCGACAAAAAAAAAAAAAAAATTAAGTTTAAAGCAAAAGATCAATTTATGATAAGAAAAAATTAAGTTTAAGATGTGAAGGATAAACAAAGGAGGAAGCTGCTTGGAAAGAAATGTACGCATTATCCTGCCCATGTAATTGTAACCCCTCTGTACAGTATGTTCACAAATAAAATAAATTAAAATAAAAAAAAGAAAAAATTAAGTTTAAAAAGTGCTAGACAACGTTAATTTTGAAGATTAGATGTTTGCTGAGGTACAAAAGCATGCATGAACATTGTCTGCAAATGCATTAATCTCTGCAATGCGATTTCTGTGTCTTTTGCTCAATTAAAAAGACATTACCAATACTGATGTGTAGGTAGCATCAAATTGTGCTTGGATGGTAATGATTTATATTTTCCTCCAAGCAGCAAATGACAGCATCATCCCCATTGTGTTCCTAGCTCTTTGTATAATCTCTGCCAATATGACCTGACTGATTTGTTAAAAGCAGTGGTGATGTATATTTATAACATCAGCCTCAGGAAAATCTGTCTACCACAGTACAAAATTTGGTGGAAGAATGGAGACTTAGAGCAGACATTCTTCAAATGATTACCCACTGCTCCAGAATAAAAAAAAAGAAACAAAAGAAAAAAAAAACTGCCTTCACTGCTGCTCCCTTATTATCATTTAAAACCTCACCTAGGAAATCAGCATCTGTAGCACTGTGTTCAGACTGCTCTCAGCACCCTGTACCCGGCCACTGCCTGGCTTGCACCAGTGAAGCCATTGGGCAGGAAGGAGCATCTGGCTCCACTTCACAAGTCAGTCCCAGAGTCTCAGGCCACCTGTTTTCTTTTGCCCTCAATATAGTCTTTGCAAATTCCCTTCAAAATTATTTACATATGATCAATATTCAAGTTACACATTTCATAGATATTGAATAGCTATATAAAAATCATTAATTTTTCCGAGGAATATTCCTAAATATGCTTTTAAAGTATTTATACAGCTGGATGCCACACCTCAAAATACCAAATTTGCATTCCCCCCCAAAAAAACCCATATTAACTACCCAGGTATATGATTCCTTGAGTTCTTTTAGAAGACAAAGTAGGTTTGGAATAGATTTTTAATTATAAAAAAAGTAAAATGTGCCATGAGAAATATCATTGTCTATTTTTGGACTAACTTTATTTATTTATTTTTATTTATTTTTTTTTTTTTTGGGTCCGGTCGTGGGGCCTGAACTCTGGGCCTGGGCGCTGTCCCTCAGCTCTTCAGCTCAAGGCTAGCGCTCTACCACTTGAGCCACAGTGCCACTTTCGGCTTTTTTTCTTTTTGCTTATGTGGTGCTGAGGAATCGAACCCAGGGCTTCATGCATGCAAGGCAAGCGCTCTACCACTGAGCCACCTTCCCAGCCCTGGACTAACTTTAAAAGCTGACCAAAAACCAAACCCTTCCCCACTCTAAAAAGCCCCCCAAAACACAAAACACAAACTAAAACTCAGAATTAAGGCAGAAAGACAAGTGTCAAGGGCTGGTTTCAATGCCATATGGAGCAAAAGCCATTCGACTATGGCCAAACACCTCCTTTTCAAATGTTCCACCAAGTTCAAATGTTCTTTGAACTTGAATTTTTAACTGGTCTGTTCACTAATGCATCGAACAGAACCTTCATTGTGTCTTCATTTTATATTTCTTTGAAGTGCGTAATTTTCCCTATTAAATCTATCTTCATCAAATAAAAGTTAAATACATGCATATTTGAAAGTCAAATGCACCAGTTTCACTTTCAAACTTCCTAGGTGCTATTTCATGAAAAACTAACATTTGTACATGAAAAAATAGCCTATTTATATTTAGCTTTAGTGCAAAACCCTTCATTCAGTATCATCTATCAAAGAGCAATTCTGGCAACATCTCCAAAACAGACTTACCAGTATTTTCAAGCTTTTTGGGAAATTAATTATACTGGAATTTTTATTTTCTCTTGTTTTGAAAAGAAAGTCTCACAAATATTTTAATGATTCTTATTTGAAAACAATAAAATTGATTCTGTACCATATCAGTATTAATTATTCATCTTAAATCTGATATTTTAGGCTAGAACCAGACAAAATCGTTTGACCATGATTGTGCCCATAAACTACTGCTTACATGCTTAATTTAGTCCTCTTCAGAGCACGGTGCACTAGTGGCTCTAACATATGACACACATGAAAACTATAATATGTGCTTCCCATTTGTTAAATTGAATCACTCTTAAAGAGTATTCCTAGTTTTCCTTTAGATGATATATGAGTTTATACTATCTGGAAATATCTCCAAGCTGATTTCTCCTTTGTTTTCAATCCTCACACAGGTTAGCATCCTTATTCCAAAAAGGTGAAAGCTGAAACGCTCCAAAATCCAAAGCCTTCTGAATGCCTGTGGGATGCCCCACTGGAAAATTCTGTGATGATTAACACTGTACAAAATTACCTTCAAGCTACATGAATTTCATGAAACCCGAATGAATTTCATTTTTCACTAGGGTTCCATCCCCAATAACTCTCATTATGCATATGCAAATATTCCAAACTCTGAAAGAACTCTTGTTCAAGCATTGCAGATGAGTTGTACTCAACCTATATTAATTTTCATGTTCTCAACTCAAGATCTGAAAATAAAGTAAATGAATGGGAGTAGAGATGGTCATGATCATAATGAAAACACAAGTGTTTACATGTCTTGTAACAAAATACAGCGGATTCACAGTTATTCTTACCATTATTGATACCTACACTTTGCTTTTCCATTTAAATAGGCTCTTGAATGGGTGGTAATGGGGAGAGTGTCTACAAGATATTCAGGAATCTGCTTAGATCCCCTTGAAACAGATGCCTTGGGGTTTTGTTGTTACTGTTTTCTGTTGTTTTGTTGCCTGCAAGTGAATATTCTGACTGTTAACTCGCAAACAATGCCTCTGGGTTTGTCCCACTGAAGGGGTGATAGTAATAAAGGAATGGGCCAATACTAAGGTTTGAGGCCTAGTTTTGATATGGATTATTTATTGTTAACTATGTTATCTTGGTGAAGTGTCTATTCTTTCCTGTGCTTCAGTCTCCTTCTTGGTAAAACTCATTATTTCATCTACCCTTATTGAGTTAGTAGTATTACTGAATATATAATGTTTGATGTTGGTATAATTTAGGGAGGGGAAGGGAAAAAATAAATTGTTTAAAAAGGAATATACAGGTGGACCCATTGCAACAATGAGATGCACAACATGCTATGCTGAAAAACAAACTTTACAACTTTGGCAGGGGGGTTGGGGGTGGGAAGGAGTGTAGTAGTGGAGATGGGAGGGCAGGGATGGTAGGGAAAAACAAAGGAGGAGGCAACAATGCTTGATAAGAAATGTACTCATTACCTTGCTCATGTAATTGCAACCCCCTCTGTACGGTATTTTCACAATAAAAAAACTTTTTAAAAAAGTATAGGCAAAATTACATATTCTTTAAATAAAAAAGATTGGTAGACTATAAGGAGTGTTATAAAAATGCTTCAATTTCTTGAAGTTAAAGCAGAGAGAAATTAACTCTGTTCTATCCATATTTCAATATGGAAAGGACTTATATTTTTGAGCTCCTTTTCCTTTCTAACCCATGTGCCTCACTTCATTCTTCTGACAGTTCTCTGGTTATCCACAGCTCTGATGAAACCAGTGGGTACCTCATAGGGGAAACCTTGTGTTCATTGATCTTTACATGTGACCCAGGTCAGGGCTTTATAAAACACATTCACCTCTTACAGGTGAACTTGAGAACATACCTGAGCCTAAGTCTTCTTCCTATAACTAACCAGAACATCACTTAAACTGTGTACCACAACATCTGTGTTCAGTCAGGCCCTTGAAGGAACAGGTACCTGAGACAAGATATCAATGCTGATCACAGATCTAAGGGTTTGCTCTGTGCTATTTGGTACATGTTCCCAAATTTGTTCTTACTATCAGGTATTAGAGAAAAGCAAACACCCTTCCTTTCTTCCAAGTTCATTATAGGCTAGTGTTTCACATAAATCATTTTCTTCATTAAAGCTTCCGGTTTCAATAATTCAATGCCTCTTACTCCTCCTCCAACTCACCCCCCCCCCCCGTCTTTTTAGATATCTACCTGCCACAACCACTCTCTGTTTGTGGATATAACCCTATCCTGCTAATTCACAGGATCCTGTATCTTCAGTTGTGAGCAGTCTGCCTCCACATTACCTCTCACAACCTACTGCCACTCCCATTACCCAATTTCTCTTCACCTTTCCTTATTTCTTTTTACCTCCAATTTCTCAATCTTTTCTTCACCTTTAAATTTAGATAAGCAACATTAACAGTCCTATAACCTGTTATATAAGTAAATACTTTCAATCACAAGAATAACAGTTTTTAATATATATTTTTATTATAAAGATACTGTACAGAGGGGTTTCAATTACATGAGTAAGGTAATGAGTACATTTCCTATTGAGCATTGTTACCTCCTCCTTTCTTTTCCCTACCATCCCTTCCCTCCCCATAAGAATAACAATCTAATTGTTAAAGGCAGCAGGTGAGACACATCGTCCCAAATGCCAGTAAGTTAACTGTCTTGGTTTGGAACTCAGTTCCATGAGATGTGTACACATACATATTGGACTGTTAACTACACTTTGAAATGCATGTTTTATGAGTCGAGAAATGGGGATTATCTATCAAATATTCTAAGCTTTTGCTTAGCAGAAAGGAATGAGAGAATCTCCACACAAATGTAAATACAATTCCATTGAAAAAGACTAAAAAATGTATGTCATTGAAGTAATTAATCTATTCATTCACAACAAAAAGTGGTTTGTATAATTAAGGTCTAGACTCTTAAACCCCTTATGTATTAAACAGAAATTGATGACTTTTTCTTGAAATCTATTTTCTTTTTCATTTTTGATACTGTCAAGAAACACAGCGATTACATAAATGGACTAGAATATTACAGAGAAGCACTTTATATATCAGACTGTATCCTAGATACTTCAAATTATATAGTTTGACAAATTTAGTAACTCAATGAAACAGTAGTAGGCACAATTGTTTATTGGGATACTTCATATTATTTCATAAAAAGATCTTTCTCCTTGAGAAAATCTTATATTTTGCTTACTATAACCCAGAATTTCTTGATCTAGCAGTTAGAGAAGATCAGGGATTTTTTTTTATGAAAAATGTATAAAAGCTATCATTTAACTTAAATGTTTTACACTTTAAGGATACATGTCCAAACGGCACAGCATGTTCCACTTAGTTAATATATGGTCAAATATTTGGGATTAAGAAGTGAATGTAAATGTGGGTTATTTATGTTCTGGTAGGTACAGGTGTTTGTATGTGTTTTCTTTCTCTTCTTCGGCTTTATAGGAAAGAAAAATGAGAGGAGGGCAGAAAGGGCAGGAGGTAGAGTAAACAAAATGCAATCATGGAATTCAGTATGTTCTATTTGGAAAATGAATTATGCAACTTGTAGGCAGAGATAGGAGGAGAAAACTAGGGAAAAGAGAAAGAAGGGATGACATTGTCCACATGAGAAATGTATGCATTACTTGAATTGTGAAATGGTAACCCTCCTGGGTAACATCTTAACAATTTTAATAAAATTGTATAAAATACACTAATTTTCCTTTTTAAGTGTATGTACCTTTCAGCTCACAGAAATCTAGCTAAGGGGAAAACGAACTGTCTAATATATCAAGGTGAATCGTTTACCTTTGCCATCTTTTCTGCCAACTGTAGCCGACCATCAAGCTCCCTTCTGATCTGGGCTGCTTGTTCATCTGCATTGTCAAGCTTCAAAAGAAAAGAAATAATATATGTGATTATTTAATATCTATTAGTGATATATAGACTGGAGCAAAAATTAAATAATTCAAAATTTTAATAATCTCCCAACTACTTGTTGAAAATGTAGAAAGCTACTTAATTACATTGTAGTCCAGATACATTACTTTTTCTAAAGAAAAGTTAATAAACCTCTAGGATTCAATCATTGAATTTAACTAAGAAATATAATTCAATAATGCTTTTCTTAATATGTTCATAACTCTTATCCAAGACATCCTTGTTTTCCCAGGATTGCATAAAACCATCATGAAGTTTCCTTAATCTATACTTTTCTTAGTTTCTCTCAGTCTATTTTTCTTTTCAGGGAGGTCAGTCCTTCCACAGAAAATTAATAAGAACTGCACATAAGCTTGAAATTCCCATACAATTTTATAAATTCCTTCCCAGTTGCACCAAAATATTCAGTATCTTAAAAAGTCACAGTTCCTCAAATTTCATCAAAACACTATTTAACACCTTGAAATATTTAATATCTTCACACTAACAGCTCTTAATTTTAAGAATTGTTTGCATTATTTCTGTTTTGCAAGAGTTTTTCTTTAAAAGATGTTTTTCACTATTTTAAAAAATTAATGCCCTAATTCTATTTGTCTGTTAAAAAAAAAAAGTAGGCAAAGTAAAAATTCACTACATAAGGGCATTTTTCTTGTGTAAACAGTCCAAGAAAGTATTAATTTAGAGACTATAGGTATCATAAAAATATAAAATCACACTCCAAAACATACTTATAGTTTAAAGATAAAAAAGAAATCCTTGTAATAAAGGGTACTAATTTCAGTTATTTATACTTATTTTATATCATGCTAAGACAAAGTTGAAGGGGTACATCATTTAACCATTTTTTAAATGTAAGAATCATGGTTTGATACCTTGTGCTTTGTTTTGTGTTTTGAGCATTTATTATGTCTGTTTGAAACACAATTTATTTAATTAAGTCTGTATCATTTACTTTTCATGAACAGTCATTCTATCTCACCCTCCTCTCAATATGCTCCTTCCCTCCTTCCTTCTCCTCTGTTGTATTCAGCTCTGCACTTTCAGTTGATGACACACCTTTTCCTTTCAGTCATCTTATAACGACCTCAAAATAAAACAAAATTGATCTTCACCACCACTTCCTAAAACTGCAATACATGGCTTGTAAAAAACCAAAACAAATAAGCAACCATAAAAAGAAAACCCTTATCTTATCCTAAATGAGACAAACCCATATTCAAAGGTAGGATTAGAATAAGAGTTTTCTTTTTATTGTTTGTTTTGGATTTTCAAAAGCTATCTATTGCAGTTTTAGGAAGTAGCATCGGATACTCCAGTTGAAAGATAAGGTAATTATTAATGATTTGTCATTGGATAGTCTATCTTTGCTGCTAAATAGTTGGTTTACATACTCTACTCAGCTTTGTCCCTCAGTGGTTGAATGGATCGAGAAAATATGGTGTATATATATATATATATATATATATATATATATATATATATATATATATTCTATGCTTCCATAAGAAAGACTGATATTGTCATATTTGTAAGAATACATAAAGATTTGGGAAAAAAGATATTTAGCGAAGTAAGCTAGACCCAAAGAAACATAGGCTGCATGGTTTCCTTCATTTGTGGTAGCTAGGAGAAATGTACTCATTACCTGACTTATGTGACTGTAGCCTCCATTCATCACCTTTACAATAACAATAAAAATACATATATACTTAAAAATAATTTTACCAGCATTTGAATGTTTCTTGGATCCTAACACACCTTCGGCACGGATTCATTTTCCATGAAACAATTCCTCCCAAGGAAAAAATCCCAAACTTATTTCTTCCCCTTTCTTGATCATTGTGAATTAGTAGTTACAACGACAGGGTAACTAATATTGTTTTTACATCTTCATATAACATAAAGATTGCAAGGAAGTGGAGTTGTTTTCACACTATTAGAAGCAGCACAGTTCCTACATAATTTGATGGATGAAAGAATCAAGGTAACATTCTATCTTCTAGATGCAAGTCTTTTAAAGAACTCCCTTATATCTCCCTTTTAAATTATGCATTAAAAAAAATCTGACTTAGAAATCGCAGTTCTGTCATGGACTCTTGTAGAACAGTTCCAAGAGTCTTAAAAATTCATTTCCCCAACCACATTTTCCTTTGAATACTTAAAACCAAGAAAAGATGAATGAGTTAATTAGCTATAAAATTACCCTATGTGAACTGAACTAAACTATATTAAATAATGGATCAAAATGTTCAAAGACAAGAACATAAGAAATTTAACCCTCAAACATAAAACCTTAGGATTTTTATAGCCTAGATATTCTATAGCCACATTCTATAGGTATAGCTGTACATATGTATGGAGATTCATACAGCACATCCTTAAAATTATAGATAAAACCTGACAAACATTTGTAAAAGAAATTTTCTTTGTATTTCATTTGATCATGACACTTTATCATTTGGACAGATGTAACATACCAATATTTATTATTACTACTACAAAGTAGTTGTACAAAGGTTACAATTCTATAAGTCAGGTTTAAGTACATATAAGTCAGGTTATAAGTACCTGCTTCTTGGACATTTTTACCCCTTCCTTGATTTTCCCCTTCTAGAGCATGCCTAATAAGGTTACATAGTTCATTTTTGTATAATGTACATTGAATATGATGATTGTAGTTGCTCACCTTTCTTCCCTCCATTCTGTGTCCCCACCTTAGCTACTTCTCTACAGAAAACATGTTTCCATTTCCTGGTATTAACTGTGTGGGTTCAGAGGAGTTACACCTATGGACTCCTCCCCAAAGTCAGTTTGTGTGTAAATGCATTGAACCCTACATAGGTCACCATACCTAGTTGTATTTTGGAACTAGCTTCTGCATGTGAGAGAAAATATGTACCATTTAACTGCATTTACCTCAATAAATCAGTTGAATCTACATTCATCTTAATAATGAAATAACATTGGGATTGAGCACTTAGCACTCGAGAGGAGGTCTTGCTTTTTCAGACCCTTCCAAGAGCAGATTAGAACACTAACTTCAGCATGACTAACAAGGTCTAAGTTTACCTGGCACTTACTATGGCATGGATCAGGTACTGGTCTAATGTTTTAGAAACACTATCTCAGTTAAGCCTGAGAACAACTCTATGGAATAGGCTGTATTGTCCCATTTTAGTAGTGAAAAATCTAAATTAGAGATTGATTTCAGCCACTGCCTACAGTCAAAGTTGACAAATGGCAGGACCAAGCAAGGTATGGATCCTGCATTTTGGCTTTAGATTTCAATGTAACCACCTCCATTCCTGAACCACTTACCAAACTCATCTCTTGTTTTTCAGTTTTTTACAATATATGAATGTCTGCAATGGGAACCACATTATATAATGCTGCATAATAATGGAACTAAGATTGACTATTTATCTTGTGCTGGAGTTCTTAAAATATAGTAAAGGAGGCCTATAAGGTCTGATAGAAAACAGGAACTGCTTCTTTTTGAGAGAACATGAGTGAATAAATGATTATTAGATCATTCATTTGTAATACAGTGTATTACAAAAAAAATGGAGGTAGTTACCTGAATACTAGTTATTCAAGCTAAGGTCCCAAGATTGTGGTTCAAAGAGAACATGGGGAATAAAATTCCAAGAGACTTTTCCTTCAATGAATCAACAAAATGGCCACCTGGAAGTATGGCTCAAAAGGTAGAATTTCAGGCAAGGCCCTGAGTTCAACTGCCCGTACCTTTCATTGACAAAAAAGAATGAAAGAGAAAAGCAAATAGGGACCTAAATAAATGCCACATCTGCTGGAAACTTAGTCAAGGATTATGAATTTGAACCATGTTGAGCAAAGGGAGCCATTTCTTGGTACACTCTCCCCTTTAAGGCAGAGTGTACCAGGATCAGGGCGGTACCTCATTAATATTAATCTAGCAACAAATATTTACAGAATTAGAAGAAAAAGGCAAGTAATAAGATACTGCCATGCTCCATGTGTAAAGTCAGTGAAGTCTTGGCCTACAGCAATGGCCATGGAAATAAGACAAGAAAAATAAATACATCTCATAGAGAAAGTGGCAATACTAGTTAATTGAGTTAGGAGGGCAACCAAAAGGAGAAGGCTTGTGATTGTGAATCAGAGGCCTGAATATGGCATTTATAGAAGGACATTCAGGGTTTTGTTTTGTTTTTAAGCATATTTGAATCTATTAAACTGGAAGATTTTCATATCCATCAGTTTTCATGTGTCTTAGGTGACAGACAAGTATAAGGACAATGATGCTCAAGGAAGTGTAATTTAAAATGTTATTAATAAAAAATTAAGATGATACTATAATAATTCATATCATTGATATTTTATTAATATTTTATAATGTATTTAATACTGTTTTTTAAACATTGAAGCATTTTTTCAATGGATCTACATCAATATAATAATTCCAATAGCATTTAATTTCTCAAACTAAGGACAGAAGCAAATCTACCTATTTTCTACCTGACTGTTCTTACACTAAGATGATTTATGCACTTTACCTATCTGTGCATGCAGTTTCTGTATCCATATGCATATTGCACCATGGAAAATACATGGGGAAAGATTGTATGTGTACTGCCTGTGGACTCACATTAGTTTTCATACAATTATTTTGGAAACAGTATGTAATAATAGCTACTTAGACAGTATCAACATTATATAAAGTATTGTGTTTTTGACAAAATAGGTCTAAGTTTTATGCAAACACTATTGTCCAGAGGGACTTCAGCACCCATAGATTTTGGTACCAGAAGGGAATTCTAGATGCACTGTTCAAACTATACAATGAGTTAACAAATCTTTTTGACGATGATTCACAGTCTGAAATAGAAGCCTTGTGCATCTAAAGATCTCCATACCAGAAGTTGGAAAATGCTTTTTGCAACCAAGAATAACATAATTTAAAATGTTTAACAATAATGGAGACGTTCCTATCACTGTATTACAAATAACTAGAATCAGCTATGACCATCCATTGCATAAATAAGCTTTTATGGGTCAAAGGTTAGTTGGCTTGGTTCTAATGAACATGATTAGGACAAAGGAAAGCATTTATTTTTTTCTAGTCTAAAACAAAAAAAGGACTGGATATAGCTTAAAATATTAACATTATCAAATTGATTTTGTAAACTATATCCCCCAAACCTTACCTCCTGTCGAAAACACAGGCTTGTCGATTCAGTGACCACTTACTATCTCATGGATGTCTAATTTATTTCAATGTGTACAAAGTAAAATTCTTGACTTCCAGAATTCTATCAGAAAGTGTTGCTACATAGGGGGATGTCCATAGATTAAGAGTCCAAAACTCTGCCAGATTAGAGTGGCTACTGTGTTAAAAGAAGTCAGAGATGTCCCCATCAAACTGTTGTAAATACAAAAGCTCAATCAACAACCACTGAAAATCCCCAAACTCTACAATTCTTAGACTTTCATCTTGTCCCTTTCCAGAAAACAGAAATAATCAAGAACTCTAATTGCAACAGATGCTGAGGGGATGTAGACAGAAGGGAACCCTACTGCATTGTTGGTGGGAGTATAAATTTGTTCAACCACTTTGGAAAGCAGTATAGAGGTTCCTCTAAAGACTCCACATAGAGTTCCCCCATGACCCAGCAATCCCACTTTTGGGCATTTACCCAAATTTTCACAAACAAGATCACACTAAAGCTACCAGCATGACTATGTTTATTGCAGCATTATTTACCATAGCTAAGATATGGAACCAATCCAGATGCCCCTCAGTAGATGAATGGATCAAGAAAATGTGGTATATATACACAATGGAATTCTATGTGTCCATCAGAAAGAATGACATTGCCCCATTTGTTAGGAAATGGAAAGACTTGGAAAAAAATCTAGTAAGTCAGGCCCAAAGAAACATAGGTCCCATGGTTTCCCTTATTTGCAATAACTAGTATATGTCTGAGTCAAGCAGAAATGAACCCCAAGATAAGTATTCAAATATTTTTTTTTCTTTCATGTAACTGTTTCTATCATATTTATAAGATGATTTCTTTGTTGCTTTGTATGTCCCTCCCCCACGGTATAACCCCTGCTTTCACTGTATTTGATGTTGGTATAATTTGTGGAGGGGAAGGGAAAAAATAAATCGTTTAAATAGGGATACAGGTGGGCCCAGTGCAACAATGAGATGTACAAGTTGTTATGTAGAAAAACGAACTTTACAACTTTGATAGGGGGGTTCGGGTGAGGGGGGACAAGGGGATATGGGAAGAAATGGAAAGGGGAAACAAAGTAGGAGGCAACAATGCTTGATAAGAAACGTACTCATTATCTTGCCCATGTAATTGTAACCCCTCTGTATGGTATTTTCATAATAAAAAAAAGGAATTTTACTTAGTATTACTAACCAGATCCCCAAATATATTTAACAAATCAAATCCATCCATTTTACACTATGATACATTTATTTATAAAAGAAGTAAATATGCATATAAATACCATGGCCATTTCAATGACCAACTTTAGACTTTGCAAAAATCAAAATTTACAAAATTTATTTATTCTCAAGATCTTATGTTGCTCTCTAGTTGTATTCTCCAACACAAAAACTCATTTCAGAACACTTACTCTAGCATTGGGAGTCTCATATTACAAATGCATATAAAATATTCCCGTCATATTTCCGTTTCCCTACTTTGAAAGACATTTTGAAAGTTATCAGGTGTAACACCCCATATAACATCTTTTTATTATTGCTGAAAAAGTCAAATCACTTTATGTAAAACCAAATGTATCACCAATTGTGTGCTCTGAGATGGAAAAGGACAAAGTAGTGGGTGGAAGGCAGATTTCTTTTGAAGATTCACATCCCTCTCCTCTATTCTCATTTTATAGACTTGAGAGGAGGTGTATGGAGCTGTTAATAGCGCCTGGCTTCCTGGTGAGAGGAACAAGAAACTGAGCAATTGCCTATTGATAGATTTCATTAAACCCCAGACCCACAGTCCAAAGCAAAATTTCAAATTAATCTCTCAATGTTCTTCTCCAAAGCTAAAACTTCTGGAGAAACAGGATTATAAAAACAACACTATATTTCTGCTCTCCCTTATCACTATACAAACAGTTCTGTGATACTAATTACTGCTACTTGAAGTTTTCAGAGTATGAAAAACTTTGGATAAGGGTCTCAATTACTTTGCTCTCACTTTGGTATAGATCTAGGTGAGTCATTTTACTCAGATAATGGAATGAGATCATAAAACATTGATGAAGTTTGCCTTTGCTAGAAAAAGATCGGGATCTAGATAGCTGTAAAAATTGAGTTACTTAAGCCTCTTAAAAATCTAAACACAGACATAAAGGAGAATTGCAAGAGTTGATAGGGTGCCATATGGTCCATTCTTCAGGTTCCACTTGTTTAGCATAGTATATCTCCAGTCAATTGGACTGCTAGCTATATTACCTCTATGAATGGCCCCCATCCCACACCATCTCCCTTCTGTTTTAATAACACCAAAGTTTCCTCAAAGTTTCCACATGAACATGCTGGTACATCATAGCAAATGAACAATTTCTTTTTTTTTTGTTTTACAGCTAAATTTTATTGAATATTAGCTACAGGGGAAAATTTTTCATCTTATTTCTTCTGAGAAATCATTGGTTCCATTTGGCTATACATGGAATTTTACATTTGGAACTTGAATTTCACTTGTGTAATTCTGTCTTCTACTCTTCTATGACTTATTTTGAAAAGGTAAAGACCATGGTTTACATTTTTACACACTGTAAAGTACTGTTTTATAATTCTATGACACGAAGATGAACAATTTCTTATTCTGGTATATTTCATCATGACACATTCAAAGATTTAAGGGTTTTTAAATTTATGTTCATGCCAGAAACTATAGTTTTTCCTTCTGCATGTATTATAGGAAAGTTAAAATTTTATACTTCCAAAATGAGCAAACAAAATGCAAATAACAAAAAGAACGTATTCTTACACCCAATCATCTGGTCTAAAAACGGAAGTGAAAGAAGCATAAGATTATATTCAGTTTCTCATGGGCAAGACTTGAACAATTTAAGAGAAAATATATTAACTTTCCTGTCTTTATATTACATAGTTTAACAATCGTTCTCAATTCATTTCTATATGGCTTCCTTAAAAAACACTGATATTTCAATTACTGCCATGAGACTCAGAAGACTTAGCAACCTATGTTTATGAAAAATTATTTTGCACTGAGGAGTATCTGCTTATTGTAAATTTCCAGGTTCTTCAGGTAATAGATGATTCTTACTTTAATATTCAGAACATGCCTCAAATATGCCCCAAGTACACACCAACTTCATGTCCCAAAATAGGCCCATGGGAGCAATTATTTAGTGGATACAGATTCTTCTCCTACCAAATACTTCTTTCAAAGCTTCTTTCAAATATCACCATTTGATTTATTAAAATTCAATTTCACTCAGCTTTGCAAGCAAAACAATTATAGGAAGGTAAGCACATCTTCACAGGCCTGTAAACACTTGATGATTATTCTGCGAGTCAGATAGGGAATGGGAAATTTCACAAAGTACTTACCTGACACGCATTGTAAAGAAGCTGATGTTCTAGTTTTTTAATGCCTAGTATCTGCTGGAACATTTCATAGAGTTGTTCCTTGCTCAGAATAAGTTCAGACACGGCGCTCAGGGTCATTCTGTTTGGCTGTTTGCACAAGTCTTCTTCCCCCCGGTAGATGGCATCATATTTGGCTATCCAGGAGCTCAACACTGTCTCTTTGCTCAAGCCATCTATTTCTGGCAAACTTCGCACCCGTTTTTCTATATTTTTCTTAAACACTTCTCTGAAGTCATTAGCAGAACACCCTCCACTTTGAACCATTCTCGCCACTCGGTCGCTCTTCAGAAAAACCTGAAAGAAAGAAAAATAATATCTTTAAATTAGCCATCATCATAGTGGCCAAATGTTTTCAGAAATTCAGCCTGGTGACTGACATCAACTATGCTGCAATGACTCAACATATTTTATGTAGTACAGATAGTCACTCCTTACAAAAAGGAAGCCCCAAATCCTTCTAAAATGGTGAAATATTGACAAGAGGAAATATGAAGTGCTGAGCAGCCTGTAAGATGATTCAAACTGGAACTTCATGTCCCTCATCTGAAGGTCAAGGGCAACTCTGCAATTAGATTCTTTAAGGTATTTTTTTGAATGCACAGGAGTTGTGTTTGTAAAGGATTCCAGAGAACCCCTCATCACTCTGCCAGGTGAAGACATGAAGTCGGCCTTCACCAGACATCCAATCTGCCTCGCCTTTGATGGTGAAATACCTCAGATCCCAATCAGCTGGTTCTCTTCAGATTCCTCCCCCATAAGTCATGCCTTAGTCAGATATTGCATTGTAGGGCATCACCGAACCTTTTCTGTTCACATTGTCACTGTAATATTTACATAAAATAATTGTTGACTTATATCTGTTTTAATCATCAGACAGTAAATTCCATATATCCCAAACTGCTTCATTTACTACATCTGTCACACATAAGTATCTAGGTAGGCAGACATGAAAACATTCTGTGTAAATGAATGAGCAGTTGGTGAGAAACAACTAATCTAATTCCTCTGTCTATGCTATAATTTCAAAGCTGAGTAAGTGAGCAAAGTGTGCCAATTTGCTATTATATTTGTGTAGAGGAAAGGGTGTAAGATATGGATATTGTCTGTACCAGAGAGAGAACAGTATTGTAGAAAAAAAGAACTACAATTACATAATGGGATAACTAGCTTCATGAGAAGGACAAGTTGAGCAACAGCCTGGAGGGACGGTGAGAAAAACCTGCTGAAATAGAAATGAAAGATGAATACAGGGTGTTCTGGCTGATGCCAGAGGCAATGGCGGAGCACTGGAGTGAAGAAGTGAGAAAGTAGCATATTGAAAGAATACTCAAAACTAGAGCAGACTTTAAAACTGAGAAACCCATTTGCATTATATATATATAATTAATGATTCAGCCTATAACACGTTTATACAATAAAAGTCTAGCTATATAGATATAGATCTTGTCTGTATGAATGGGAGATGAAAAATAAAAATCCCACAGGCAAAACAAGCACCATGAACTGATGTCTCAAGGGAAGAGATCTATTGTTGTGATGAAAGTAATTATGGAAACTGGTCCTAGAACTGGCCTCAACCAGTCCACAATAGTTTTTTGATCTGATTTCCAAGATCCTCCATGAAATTCTGCCTGGGAGATCTACAGGGAGCCATGTTTGTTTAGAAGCTGCCATGAGAACGAATTATATCCCCACTCCCAAAAAGTCACCACCAATAGGCAGATATTCTGTCTCCCTAGAACTTTTCAAACAGGAAGAGCTCTCCCTTAACCCACCCAATTGCCCTATGCTTTGTGGATTATTATTCTCTATCATAGACTGAGCCATTTAAGCTGAGGAGATATATGAGTGACACTATATCACAGAGTCTTTAGGAAAACAGAGAATGTATCTTGGCTTTTGGAATCAAATGACAATACTTCTTAACTTATTTTCTTACTCATTACCATGGTTATATCTCTGGTAGTCAGGTTGTCTGTCAATGTCTTGCCGGATGCTAGCCAACACCTCTGTAGTTTTCAGTAAAATTCTCTAATCATAGAACCAATTCAGAGTGGACATGAGGAGCATAACACTAGAAAACTAACCTACTACTCATTATCATATTTTTGACATTTCGGTGGGTTATATCTTTTACATGGTCTTCTCTGAGCACCTCCAACTGTCTGGATCATTTATCGGTTCAGATTATATACCAAACAGAACTTCAATGAATACATTAACAATGTCATGGGGAACTAATAACAAAGATGTAACCAGAACAAGAAATTATATCTGCAGTATAAGTCTACTCAGCTGTCCAAATAAGACTTCAAGTATATTTTTTCACAGAAACACATATTGTCCACACACTGCTGTTGATCTGAAGCAGGCATTGCTTCTTTGATTCAAAAGCATTGTATAATGTGGAGAAAACCATTATTTGCTTGCCAAGTCATTGTGGGTATCTCTGAGATGGTTCTTGGAAATGCTACCACCAAGTATTCAGCCAGAAAGATACTGAGAAAATAGAAGAGCCCCACAAACAAGAGATGCTTTGCTTTTATGCTTCAAAAATAGTCTATACTGTCCCTGGAGAGACAAAGATACAGTCCTTTAAAACTTTTTTAGGTATTTTCAACTCATAAAGCCTTTTAACAATGGTGAGCTTAATTTTACAAGAAATCAAGCAGTTTTGTTTTCCTGTACACAAACACCAGTATTTGTCAGATCTCTTTGTATAGCCAGCCCAGGGATTCCCCTCTGGCACCATATCTTTTCATTCTCTTCATCTACCCATGACTTCCCCAACTAGCCTTTTTAGCCTTCTCCGTCATTATTCCAAGGACATACTTTCTGTTCTAAGGGAAAGACTTGTTTAGGGCTCAACTCTCTCTATGTACCTGTAATCCTAGCTATTCAGGAGGTTGAGATCTGAGGATTGTAGTTCAAAGCTAGCCCAGGGAGGAAAAGTCCATGAGATTCTTATCCCCAATTAACCACCCCAGAACTAGAAGTGAGCTGTGACTCAAATTGGTAGAGTGTTAGCCTTGAGCTAGAGCTCAGTGACAGCATCTAGGGTCTGAGTTCAAGGCCCCTCCCCCCACAAATTATCATGGCCAAAGTATATGATGGATCAATTCGGGAAAGACCTTGGTAAGAAAAATTGTGTATGTTTACTGTTTACTAATAGTGGGACAAATAAACTAACGTGCCTGTGTTTGGAAAGTACAACTGAGAATTTCTGGGGCTGTGATAGCTTATAATAGACTTTTCATTGTAGTTGGGGAGGTCAGGAAGGCTTCCTTGAATAGATAAATAAAAATCTAAACACCAGAAGGAATTATGTTGGAAATGAAGGGAGACTTGGGGAGCACAGTGGAGTGAACACAGCTCGTCTAACTGTCCCTTAACTAAGCTCTTTGAGCTACAGTGAAGGAACTGAAGCCACCAGGCTATGAAGAGCCTAGAGGAAAAAAACGCACTTCCTAAGGTCTGGAAAGGTATATTGTCTTTATCTCAACAGCGCAGAATGCCACTGAAACATTTAAGAGTCACATGTTAAACTTTTTTTTTCAGAATAGCTATAATTTTCCTTAGTAATTTTGTACCTATAAGCCTTGTAACCATAGAAAACATATGCTAACGTCTATCATACAAAGAAAAACAAAAGCATCATGAAGACATATAGCCAGGATCAAATAGCCAAAAGCATAGAGAAATCAAGATTTAAGTCCTATCATTTGCTTCATGCAATCAATTCAGTTAATTGCTTATTAAAATGAGCTGGGGAAGGCAAGGCATGGATGAGTTGGCAGGGATTAGGAGGGAGGATGTATTCTTATCATTCTCCACCTGCTTTGTAAAGCATCCCACGGCTTTGTTATTTCTTCTTTTGGAGCTGTCATGGCTCTTCCTGTACTTCTGAAGATATTACTTGTACCTTCATACTTTTGCACAACATCACTACATCTCTCTTCTGCTTCAACTCTGAACTTCAAGAGTGGTAGACTTTGAAGCCTTTATAGTGTTTGCTATCATTACACACTCACATTTTAATGAAAATGATTAGATCTTTGCAGTCGTAATGGAATTGAGAAAGATACAGAAGCCAAGCCTGGTGTTTGACCAGGGTGGAATGATTTTTTTCCTTGTATTCAAGGATAACAAAACAAAAACAAAAACAAAAAAATCCAAGAAGGTCCAGTTTAACAAAACTGAATTTATTTCATATTCCAAGAGTAGAAATTACAGGCACAAGTCATTTTTTATTATTTAAAGTTATTAATGATATATGGTAGAAGTTTGTTGTAGTAATGAGCTTTCTTGGCCAGGAAAAAAAAGGAAAGAAAAGAAAAAGATTTTGCCATTATGTTTACTGATCTATAAATTCCAAAGATTTGGAAATCACTGACTTAACTGATTTCATTCCTTATCAAATGTGTAGAAATCACTGAAAACTGACAACAAATAATCTTTTCTTAAAAAAATAAATTTAGATAAGAGCTACACTGAAACCTTTATCTGTAACCTAGCAAATAGCTAGTTTCACAAGAACCTTCCATAGAACCAATCTAAATCCCTTGTATGAAATCTAAAGCCCTGATAGCAATTTAAATCCCTAAATTGCTAATCTTGTCTGTCTGATGTAGGGATGGAGTCCTCATCCTAAAGAACAAAAATGTTTTATCTTTTCAAAAGATAGGATTTTCCCATTATGTTATCAATGTTTTCTAGCTGTTCTCAAGCTTTCTGTCTTCTGGTTTTAAATAAAAATCATTTTGTTTTTCCTTATGGTTTAACTCCGCTCACGGATCACTTATACTTCTGTTCCTTTCTCCTCCCCTTATTGTCTAAGAAATAATGTAACAAAAGCTTGGGAGATACTAAAAGTCTTTATCTTTCAAAGTAGGACATACAATAAAAGACTGAAACATTACCGGTTTCTTAACCTCAATGGTAAAGTTAGAGTGGTTTCAATCTTCTCAACATGTGTTTTTAGTATTAGATGGGATGCATGTTTTTCCACATCCTTCCTGCTTTCCTCCCTTCCGTCCATTCTTTCTTCTTCCCCTCCTTCTATTCTTCCCTCCCTCCCTTCTTTTCCTTTTCCTCCTCCCTCTTTTCCTTCCTTCTTTCAAGAGTTCAAATAACAGGGCTTTAACTTGGAGCTTTCCACTTGCTCAGATGGCACTGTACCACACTTCAAGCTTTGCTTTTTGGCTGGTTGTTTTGGAGATGGAGTCTCACAGATACTTCTGCAGGCTCTGAAACTCAGTCTGTTGACATCAGCTTCATGAGCATCTAGAATTGCA